AAAAAAAAAAAAAAAAAAAAATTACCCATGTAAAAATTTCAGATTCCGATCACGTCCGAATCTGTCATGGTTGAGACGCGACTATATGTGCACACCCAAGTCAGATTCAATTATTATCAAATGCTCCAACAATTGAATTGTTTTCTTGATACACTACACTGTTACCGTTTTAGTACATGAATACATATTGGACCATACTTTATCATCTCCATATTTTTTAGTGGAAAAAGTTTATTTCACCCCACTATGAAAATATATGAAGTGTTTTAACAAGTTAAGTTATACAATGGATATGCGACAGTTACGCGGTTCATTTGCGTTCGCCCTTTCTAGGGTGAAAAGATTAAAGTGCGAAGATATTATGCGGTGAATATGCGACAATTATGAGATTCATTTCAATAACCTTCTTTTGCACTTTCTGGAGTAAGAAAGTTAAATTGCAACAGTTGAGCATAATTTATCTTTTAATATATCTTTATAGTGAAAATGGGCGACCATAATTTTATGCCCAACAGAAAATAATTTCCTACTTTAGTTAGAGGCCAAAGGCAGAACAACAGCAAAGCATAAACCAGAACCACCACAAATTCACATAAACACGAAAACAACACTTGCATCAAAGAATTTCGTAAATCAACAAAATAGGCACGGATACCTGAAACCTGGCGACCAATTCACTGATCTGAAACACAAAAGAGGCGTACAAAATCTCCACCATGAACGCCACCGCCGGTCGGCATCCCAAATGGGAGCACTCATCGTCCACGCACACGCGGACATCGTTGGGCGAGACTCTGATCTTCCCGCTGTAAAGGTACCCCAGCACCGTCACCAACGCGTCGTACCCTACGGCGAACTCCTTCGTCATCTCCTTCAGCTCCAATTTCGCGTTCCTCTCCCTGCTCGAGAACAGGTTCCTGAAGAAGGGGCTCCTTGCGGACAGAATACACCGGTGGACGGGGATCTCCCTGCCGGAGGCAGCCACCAGGCGCGCGTCGGAGAAGAAATCGAAGTCCGGCGACGACGAGGAGTCGAAGAAGATCGATTCCAGTGTATCGGAGAGGCGCTTGATTGCGTCGGCATCGGGGATCGGCTGATCCGGCGGCTGGGACGCCGGGGCGGTTCCGGCGCAGCACGTGCTGCTGTTCCCGCCGCTGACGTCGTTGGAATCCGAAATTGCGGTTCGGCAATCCATTCTCAGGGGTCAAAAATTAGGCTGATCTTCACATGAATTGCGCCATAGAATCTGAGCAAAATCACATCTGTGCAGGATAAACTGATTCGCGGAATGGCCTTTTTCAGCTTAGAGGAAGCGTGAGGTCAGATGAGAGAAGCAAACAGTGGCAATAAGCCATCGTCAGCAAATAGCATTTGGCTTCGGCAGTGACGTACTTATCTTTCTTTCTTTTTTTACTTAAAAAAATAAAAAAAAATAAAAAAATAAAAAAATAAAAAAAAAATAAAAATTGATCTCTTGATTTAAGCCAACCAGTTAAATAGGTTTTGCTAAATTTTTTTGAATTAAATTTTTATGTCAATATAATAAAATGAAATTTGATAGAAATAGAATGAGCTGAAAATAAAATTAGTGCGTATCTCGTGCGATGCACGGATATATAAATTTAGAGAATATTATAATTTGACATGCATTAGATATATGAGAGTTTAATACATACAGATATTATACATCATAAAATGTTCGTCACGAAAAAAATTTATATTATTAAAAACTTCTTTGTACAACATTATGAGTTTGATTATTGAGTAACTCGTTGTGAGGAGCACGGGCCGAAAGCGGGCTGCACAAAGGGATGCGGAAACTGAGCCTCACTCAACTGGGCTCCCTTGCTGGGCTTCTCTCCATGGCTGCGGATGTTGATTGTTGTCGTCGAAAAAATTGCCCCCACGCTTGGACCACTTTTCTAATTTCCAATTGTATTATAGATTATATTTTATTCCTACTTTAACTCTTTCATTCCTATTCTATGTAGATAGTTATTTTACATTCCCAGCTATACTAATAAAGTATATGTTTAGTTTGAATCATATAACTTCCTTAATAGTGAGTTGAATAATTTATAGATTGAAACATAATTTAATGATTCCCTCTAATTTCTCTCTCCTCTCCCCTTTTCATATTTCATATTTTATAATTTTCTTCAAATAAAACAAAAAATTACATACAACAATTATTAGGTTGACCATCAAATATATCAAAATAAGATTGTAAATAAACGTAAAATTTTTTCTTAATAATTTCTATTTTTTTTTTGAAATATTAATTGCAATGTTTCATGTTCGACACAAAATTGGTTTGTTTTTTTATTAATTGTTTATGAATAGGCTATCTATCTTAATTTTTGTTCAAAGTTATCCTTGATATGTGTTTTGATTTATAATATTGTTTATCTTTTTGAAAAAAAAAATAAATCTTTGATATGTGTTTTAGAGATATAAAAGATGACTTTTTCTGCAGCAACTAACCACCAAACTTAAATAATTTTTTGTTACAGCTACTAACATTTTTTTTGTTTGTTCGATTCTCTATTGAAATTTGTGAGCTGACATTAAATAACAATTTTTAGTTAATAACTTGACTACTTCTCATCATTAAGATCCACTACTTTTAAAAATATTGAGTGACAATAATGATGATTTTTGTAAATGTGCAAATCAATATATATATATATATATATATGTTAATCGGTTTTGAAATTAAAAAAAAATGATATTAAATTTAATCAATAAATAAGCATTTATAGACTTAATTTATTAATTTATATGTAATGTAATAATCTACATAAATAATATGTTGAATAAAAAAATATATAGTATGTGGATTGAATTTTATCAAATATATATAAAAAAGTATGAACATATTATATTTATACGATATAACACAGAGTTACCTAATTACATTTAGGACTATTTAGTATAAAATTTCTTTAACCACAATAAAGCCTTGACAATAGCGGATGAGATATGAGAATGACAATTGTATTGTGATTTTAATTATTTATATTATAAAATCATGTTTGAGTTAGATTTATGTTTGGTCAAATAATGGGCACCCATCTCAATTAAGTGAAGAATGTGCATAGCATTGCATAGATTCAATAAAATCAAGACAGATGCGACAATATATGATAAATCCGATAGTTACGTTAAACAGTTTTGTATATGATATTAACCATATTTATCTATATTCCAAATTTTAAGGGAAGTATTATTGCTGACCGACTTTCAGTTAAATAAAAAACATAACAAATTCTATATTTTAGGGCACCATTTTGAGTTTCTAAAAAATAATAAATAAAAGTTACTATAAATGGCATGTAATAAATGCCAATGGGAGTTTGACTAAAATTTAACTTACTATTTTTAAAAAATAGTAA